TTCAAGTATGGTACTTCAAAGTTGAGGTATGCATGTATGCAACACGTATGTGCAATACCGATACACACACAGAAAGCTAAATCTGAATGTCTATATATATATATACACATCTATATATACATATATAGCGCATATGTATAATCCAACTGCAGGTGTGTTTGCGTGTGGAGAGACAGAGATGGACATTGTACACACACGTAGACACCGTGTCACTATGTATACCAACTTGTATGCACATGCACATGTGTTTATAAAACACACAACATACGTAAGTGCATCGCCGTAGCAGGAGCAACAACAGCGGCAATCGAACACCGCATTTGCAAGGACATTACGGCAATCATGCGCAGTATTTGTGACATGCTAACAACATTTGGGAAAGAGACTTTGGCAATGTTGTCGTCATGCATGTCATGACCTTTGCACGACCTGCTGCAATGCTCTCGTGCACCTAGTGCCGTCGGCAGATTTGCGCACGATTTATTGAGCTGGAGTCAACGGAGAATTTGAGGAGTCTTTAAAACAGAGAATGCACGCAACAGTCTTGAAACGCGGGGGGCGCTGAGCTGTTTCGGCTACCATGCTGAAGGCAACTCCACATGGATCCTCGTATGAACAACATCTCCAACTCAGCAGCGCACGTGTCAATGGCATGGCATAGTCGTCGACCACCTCGCTTCCATGGACAGCACATCGAAGGCAGCCGACTCAACAAAGGCAACCGTTCGGCTGGACTGGGGCGTGAGCCATAGCCGTTCCACAGCAGCTGGGGCTTTTGAGGGCCAAATAGAAGGAGGAGGATTCCCAAGAGATTCCCAGCTCTTCTTGGATCCTCCACTGGTTATTGCTGAAGCTGCAGATCCAGTATGTGATGTCCTCAGGGCGATTTTTTCGATGCAAAGAGAAAAGAAACCGGGTGAATCGGTCGGACTTTGTGCATGTCCCACAGTAATCGTAGAAACATATACAGTATCCGTTAGATTGGCCCTTTTTAGTCTGCGGAACTCCAATGCTGCGCCTGCCAGGCGCAGCCATGCGAACCACATGCGGCTTCCGCATGCTTGCAGATGGAGCGGACGAAATGCGCGAAGGAGGTCCCCCAGAAGTGGGAGCAAAACCAGCCCGTCCTCAGCTCACTGCTACAAATGATGGCCAAACTCAGGCTCCAAATTAATGACTGCAAGATCTGCGCAAGATCTGCAGAGTTGAATGGACAAGTCATATACTCTTGCGGATTTGCGACTCGTGCGGGCCCGCCACCTCGGCGTAGGAGAGTTGAGCCTCCCTGGTCAGTGGCTTGATGATGTTCGCAACCACGTAGTACAAGGTCCGACTGCGGATGAATGGCTCGAAAGTGTCGTAGAAGCACCAGAGCTGCCCACCCTTGACGGCACGGCTTGGACCCCGAGGGCACTCCTGCGTCAAGCTGCAGCGAAGCGAAATGACAGGTCCAAGCCCCTGTGTCGCTAAAATGCTCCTTGACAATAGAGGCTGGGCATCGAGGGCATAAGGTAGGGGCCTTAATAATTAGAATAGGGTTTTGGGGCCCATACTATGACTATAATAATAAGGAGCCACCAAAATCATTAAGGTCCCTATATCATTGTCGTTGAACGCAAATTTAAAATAGGTCCTGAGGAGTCGGCACCGCCTGCTGCAGATCCAGCTTGTGCCGAATCAGCTTCAGCTGCAAAGGTGTGAAGGTCCTCATGGCTTAGGGTTTACCTTAAGAACCCAAAACCCCCTTTTTTGTAGGTTCTTATTGTACACCCTAATATGGGATTTATAGGGACCCTACAAAAAAGTAGGTTTTGGGTTCTTAAGGTAGGGTTATGGCACGGCAAGTAGGCGCAAGCAGAAGGGTACTCTCCGGAAAGATCTGGCAAACCCAAGTACCAGAAACCCATACTTTCTAGGAGGGCAGCTTTAAAGACTAGGGCTAACACTTCAATCCTAGCAAAGTAGGCCACGGTAGGCTCGGAATGGGTCGGGAGTCCTGTGGCCACATAAAGTGGGATACAGGTAGGTAGGATTTAGGATCCTAAGCCCTCATGTAGGGGGCCTTAAGACTTGGAATAGGGTTTGGGGCATATTATACCATAGTTATAACAAGGAATCACCAACATAGCTTCAGTAATTATGTAGGCCCCTATACCAAACCTTAAACCCGAAACCCTAAACCCCAAACCCTGGGCCCTTGGATCCTGTGCCCAAAGAAAGCTGCCAGGCCAGCGCCGACGACCAGGCTCAGGCCGACCTTTGCTACTCGGAGAACCCTTGGGGATCCAAGTAGGTAAGGTTGTAAGGGTTCCTTTTAAGGGCTTCTGACAGGCTTCCTACAACGGGTACTATACGGGTTTTCCTACACCTGGGAGTAGTCTAAGTCCCATGGTCCTTTAGCTGTGCATGACTCATGACCTAATTAACTAGTGTAGGAATCTGATGAAGAATGCCCGCTATGTAGTGGGTCCATATGGGCACCCACATGGTTCAGAGCTCCAAGAATTATGAAGGAGCTTCTCAACCAGATTCCTACGTCACTACAGTCTCTTGACAAGCCGGCAACGGCCCTAGAACTCCTTCCGAGTGCGGTCGGAAGGACAGCCACAGCAAAGAGCCCCAAGAAGCGGCGCAAGAAGGCGCAGGCTGGCGCAGCGAAGAGCGCCAGCAGAGTGGAGAGGTGGACAAAGAGTGGCACTCCCAAAGGGCAAACGGCCCAGAGTGTGGATGGAAAAGTCACCACCAAATGTCCCTGAGAAGTTTCGAGGGCGCGGGTTTCGGGATGGCCATCTTTGCTGAGCAGTAGGAGGTGTTGGCTGGTCACCGCCTGCACCAGAAACCTTGGAGACTCCCTGACCTCCGACTCTTCCGGTTCAGGGTAGTGGGGCCTCACCTTCTCGGCGATGCTGAGAATCGCAGAAGCGGTTGCCGCAGCTGCTGCCGGAAAGACCCAGCCCTCTGTCTGGCATTCTGCATCCAGCTGAGGATGCCCGGTCCCAAAGATTGTGATCGGGACTTGACGAGATCTCTTCAGCTTCACGCGGGAGCTATCGATGTTGAAGGACGTGGTCGTCTGGCGGCCTGTCTCCTCTACCTTGCAAGACCGTTGAGGTCAAGACAAAGACCTCCATCTAGCATCTAGCTCTTTCAAACTAGTAACTGGTATAAAAAGCTTTCTTGAAAGAAGCAAGCGGCTGCGGCGAAAGCACTAGGTGAGCGCCAGGACATGCCCGTGCATGGAAGGAGATGGTGGCCGTGCGTGGTGAGGATCAGGCGCCCTTTGCTCTGCGAGACCTCGAGCTTCACATCTTGGAGGGGCACTGTGTGCCTCAGTACTTTACCCGAAAGGCTGAACAGCCCAAGGGAGCTAAGGAAGACCAGGACCAGGCCGGCAAGGGCTTGAAAGTCCGTTTCGCAGTTTGAGTAGTCCGGCAATGAGGACCTTGGCCAATACCAAGAGCCACAGCCCTTGCAGGAAGACTTCCCTCGCTTATTCTGCATGTGCCCGGGCTTACAGAACTTGCACATTGACGCCCCATCTTTCTTGGAGAAGCGGCCAACATCGCACTCCTCACAGCTCCTGGACTCTTCCGGGGCAGCTCGGCCCGTGGGACAAGCATCACACTCGGTGAGACCAGGGCCCTTCGCGAAGCGTCCCGGCAGGCAATTGCGGCATTCCGTCCAGTTGCTGGTGGTTGCAGTGAAGCGCCCGGAGGGGCATTCGAGGCATTCGATGGCTTGAGGGAGCGAGGTGAATCTGCCCGGGGGGCAGTCTCTACACTCCGTCCTGGCAGGGCTTGGGGCGTGGCGTCCAGCTGGACAAGAAATGCACCGCGATGCACCCTCTTCACCGGCATACCGTCCCGAATCACACTCCAGGCACTGCCTCATGTTGGCTTGTGGGGTGAAGTATCCAGGTGGGCAGCGACGGCAAGTGCCACCAACATCCAGAAAGCTTCCAGCTTCGCAGGTCACAGCTTCAAAGCAGCCGCTGCTCTGCAAGGCCCTGCTGTCATCTGCGGTCACTTTGGTCTTGGGTTCCCCTGCAAAGGCCACCTGAAGCCAAAGATAGCCCAAGGCCCCACGGACTCCAACTCCATGCCTCCAGCTCGCCATCTGCGGCGGGCTTGAGCCCAAAGGCCAAAGACATGAGAAACTCGCGCTCTCTCTCCACTTCCGCCGCAGGCCTCGGGCTTCTCAACCCAGAGACTCCAATACCCCTTAATTAAGGAATAGACCCTAAATCATCTTAGGGACCCTCCTATAATTTAATGTATCTTCCTTAATTAAGGGGTATAATTTAAGGTATCTTCCTTAATTAAGGAATATACCCTAAATCATATTAGGGACCCTCCTATAATTCAAGGTATCTTCCTTAATTAAGCGGTATAATTTAAGGTATCTTCCTTAAGGGGTCTCGGAGTCTCTGGGAAGATCTCGCCGGCCCGGCCTGACGCGGCGTCGCAGTCCTCGGCTTGCCGAGCCTCCTCCCTGGGAGTCGAAAGCCTGGGCAGCTCACCGGCACAAGCATTTTTGGGTAGTCTCAACATTAGGGTCCCTTTTTGGGTCCTCTT